GAAAGAGAAGTTGAAAAGAGAGAAAAAATGTGTGACGATTTTGCCTTCGTACGTGATGCGTAACCTTGTAAAATCCATTGCGAGCACTTTCCGTCCTTGTCTTTCGTGCAAGAGCACATCGCAGTACTATTAGAATGGTTTTCTTCTCGCTGTTTTTTTTCCTTTTCGCTCGTTCGGTTAATGTTTTTTCCGCTTTTTAATGCATTTTTTCAATGTAGTGCAAAGCTGTCAGTTTTCAATTTAATTGATGCCGAGAATATATATCGTGTTATGGTAAATTTGGTATACCAACTCACACGCAAATCGAATAGCGGAAGTTTTGCAGTGAGAGCATCCATTTTTTATTTTTACATTTATTTTTTGCGTTTTACAACACGGTATGAGAGAATTTAAAATGGTGTTGTTAAAATCAGCGAGTGAAAAACTTAATAAAGATGTGCATGATCAGACAAACTTTTAGCAGTTAATACTAGAAATGAATAAAAAGTAAAGACCTTTACCGATTAATTTAAGTTTTTTTGTAAAGCATGTATATATCTTATAAATTACCGTGCACATGAGTTTCATTGCACTTTCATGTTGTGCTCAATGCCATTATTTTTATAACAATATTGATATTAATTTTCTATGGTATCAATTTGTTTTATTATAAGATTGTGAATTTAATGTTTCATAAATTATAAAGTTGTAAAAATTATAGAGAAATAAAAGTATATTTTTATATTTGTTGAGCCATAAGCGATAGTTATGCTTTAGAATATACAACGTAGCTTATATAAATCATCAAACAAATCATAAATGACCGTTTATCATAATTTATAGAGCATGAATAAACAATTATTACAATTTTACGTATGACTGAGCTAGTATTTACGAACAAAAAATCATAAACACAATGTTGTGTACAGAAGCTATCGATCAAATTTCCTTAAATAGGCGTATATAATGTTAAATGTGAACAATTACGGTAATCATCACGAAATTTTCTGTTTTTGTTTGTCGTGTAGAGTCAACAAGAGCTGGTTCCTATTTTCAAAGTGATTTTCTTTCGCGAAGTAAAATAATACTGCGTATTATCGAATTTGGTGCAATATGATGATATATTATTCTAATAACAGTGTACTGGCTGTTGAACAGTTTATCTGATATCGCGAAAACAATGTATTTGTGACATCCATAACATAATGCCTTCCATAAAATCTAAGCTTCAGTATATAAGCTCCAGAGAAATAACTAAATTAAGAGTTCAAGGGCAAAGGAAGCACACGTGTCTTTCAAATAACAGAAGTGGACCATTTTGCGGATTACAAAGAAAACTTTGCACTGATTCTCCACGTTTGGTCAAGGAGTAAACTAGCAGCTAAGCAAAATATATCGCTCTCGTAAAATTCGCGAGAGGTCCAATAAAAAATCAAATGTAACCGATGCCGCTTCTCTCGGTGTCCCATGCAAAACCTTCTCACTGTCCGGCCACTACCTTAACAGAAATATGGCCAGTATCCGATCGTGTGCTCGTCACCATATAACTATTTTTGTATATTCCTCTGTACAATTGTTCTGCACGAGAATAATATGCAGCCCCAAAAAATATTTAACAAATCATTTATCTTTTCGAAATATCATAATATATTTTCGAAAACGCCAAGTTTCTTCGAGTCTTTGTTTGAGTTCGTCTGCGAAAGAAAAACGATTATTCCTTCGAGTACCAGCTTTAGTTTTAGTTAACACAAATGTTTCACATAGAGCTTCAAATGTATCAGTTGTATTGCAATTGGTGAAACGAAGGAAAATTTTTCCTAAACTTTTGGAGCAAAATTTTGGACTGTAACGAAATCATCTAAAAAACAGATTATTACATTAATTATTTATTTGTTCAAGATTTAAGCAAGCTAATGCATTAGTAAAAATTATTATTTCACTTATTGAATTTTCATATTGCAATTATACATAAATTCTTTTAAAAGCTTATTACCGATGTAATGCAATACGCTATTTCTTTCTGCGTTGTTTGCTATTATAAATGCTCGAGATTTTTATTGAATCTAATCAACAAGAATATGAGGTAATATTATAGAGAAACAATCAGAAAATAGAAACAAACTGCCTGCTTGTGTATTTTTTCATAAAATTACTAGTAAATTATTCGTACGTGTATTATTACTTTCATAGTTTATGTTCATTTCTATGCATTTGTCGGATTAACTATGTATGCAAATAGCGACTACTTACCGCACCTAGATTGAGTAAAAATTTTTTTAAAGAAAGGCATTTTGTTTAATACATATTCATTAATATTCATTAATGATATATCTCTTACTGGGATACAAAATTTGACTGATTTTTGTTAATTATTATTAAAATAAATTGAATATATTTTTTGTCTTTATTAACCACTAATTATCTATCGGCAAAAATTTTTTATTTTTAATGTTTTTTTACTAACCTTAATACATTATTCTAACTAAAATGATACATCTAAATAATACCATTACATTCGATCAGTAGTAATAATAAAACCTTGAGATATACGACACAATTGTAGATATTTAGTGCGACCATTTAAATATGCATATGATGTATTTGCACATAAATATAAGTTTTATTGAAAAATTATTATATACTAAAGCGATTGAAATTGCTTAATAATATGGAAGCTACAAAATATAAAAGACGATATTAAATAGTCCAATGTAAAGCAACGCAATTAAAAGTGTAAAGTTGATCTTAATTATTTGTTTATTCATTTTAGTTTCATAACATCCATAGAATTTAAATTAAAAAATATAATAAAAAAGTCATGAAAGTT